TAATTAATTATTTTTTGAGACAGGGCTTTGCTATGCAGTTAAGGCTGGCTTTGAATTCACTATGTAGCCTAGGTTGGCCTTGAACTTACAGCAATCCTCCCACTTTAGCTTCCAGAGTGCTGGGACTGCAGGCATGCTCCACCACATCTGGCTGATAAATATCTTTTAATGCATAGGACAGTCCCATACAGTAAAGAATGACCAGGCTCTAATGCTTACTACATTTTTTTTTTTTAAAGAAACACTGCCCTTTTATTTCTCCATTTTATTTATCAGCATCCGGGAAGGGACTTTTCAATAAACGTTATGTTTAAATGGATATATCTGCCTTTCCCTGAGAAAAATTCCATGAGTTCTTAGTTACCAATTAGTTAGCTTGAAAGAATTATCAAGACAGCTTTCAAGAAGCCCCGACCCTGATTTCTGACTTAGAAAATTGGCCTGTTTTCCCTCCTTCTGATAAGTTTGCCTTTCCTTTCTATTGCTGGTGTAGGTGGGAATTGAGATGGAACACTTCCCAGAATTTGAGAATGACATAGATTTCACAGAGCGACTGATTGCTGAGCAGTCTGTCCACTGCCTCCCGGGAGAGGTGAGCGCCTGAGTGTTTCCTGGAGGTGCACTCTGCTCTTTTTCTTTCTTTACCAAAGCGAATTATTTGATAAGGTTTAAATTGATGTGTCTCTTGGCTTCTATTTAAAATTATTTCTTCCCTATTACTATTGTATCTGTAATGGGAAGCCACAACCACACCTTCTGGATGACAGGTTTGATTTGTGCCACATCCATTTTAAGACACATTAACTCATTTACTGGCTGAGCGCACTGATGGAGATGGAATGAGCTGATGAGCCGTAAGGACATGGTATCATTGCTTCTTGCTCACTGGAGCCCTGGACCTCTTTTTGGATGGTAGTAGTGGAGGGGGAGGACCCACTACCAGATCCAATTGCTCTGAAAGCAACAGATTCTTATTTATTTATTCATTTTTTTGCAGTGCTTCGAGTACCCAAATTTCTTTCGAGTGGTGATTACTGTCCCTGAGGTGATGATGCTGGAGGCTTGCAGCCGGATCCAGGAATTCTGTGAGCAGCACTACCATTGTGCTGAAGGGAGCCAGGAGGAATGTGACAAATAGGCCTCCATCTGTTCTCCACAGAGGGCTCCGCTGCTCCCAAGGGAGTCAGGTCACCCCCTGCCCCACGGAGGAGGCCTCGGAACTACAACACCGAGAGTTCAGGGTTACCTTCCCTTCCCCGGTACATCCACATCCACATCCACACTCTGAACCCCAGATCCTTCTCCCACTTTGCCTGCTGGCACGACTCATTCACTAACTCACCACCCTCCCAGGACTTCCTTCTTTTTTTCTGACAATACCAGGTGAACAGAGATGAACAGAAAGCAGCTGAGACAAGAAAAATAAGAACAGAAGAAACAAAAGATTGCGAGAACTTGTGTCCCTAACCATTTCCTCACACACTAAGGACACTCTTTTCAGTCACATCTGAAGCCCGGCTCTACTGCCTCACTTTAGGTTCAACTTACTTTTTGCAATAGTTATAACTGAAAAGTTGAGGACTCATGTATTTGGTTCACTATATTCTAAACACAATAGGAAGCTCTCTATTTATAGGAGGATCCTTGACAGTAACTTTCTACGGTGTTTTCTTTTGGTGATACAAATAAATATCCTTTAATTGACCAACTTCCTAAGTTTAAATCTGTATGCACCGGGCCTTTTTAAAATGAGCTCAGGGGGCCGGGGAGATAGCTCAGCAGCCAGTGCAAGGGCCTGAGTTCAATCCCCGGTTCTGCCAAATAAATAAATAAATAAGCCAAACTTTAAAAAAAAAAAAAAGCTCATATTTTTCATATTCAAAGAAAAAGGAGGAATCAGAGGATCTTCCAGAAATACTGCTGTGTGAAGTCCAGAAATGTTATCATTGTGATGAAATCAGTACCACTTTTGCTACAATGTTAATATTGAGTTAATATTTGTTGTATTATCTTTTCTAAGAAACATTTATATATGTAAGATCTTTTATTTTGCCAAGGATATAAATTATTATTTTTTAAATAAATTTTACCAAGTATGGTCCTCTGTGATGTGTTCTTCCCCCCTCCTTTGCAAGAGGCTCCCTATCCCCTAGATACTGCTCAGTCTAATTGAAAAATGATCCACTCAGTCTTATTTATTTGTTGTAGAAGTACTGATTTTTGGGTTGACTTAGGAAACATCTCCCCATGTGTTTTATTTGGGCGTTCGATCTCTGGCTTTCTACTTGTGAGCCTGGCAAACTTGAAGATAACAAATTATAACCTGTGGCTTTTAACTTTACACCTTCAACCCCTGGTGCTAAATTCCCCTCCTTGCCTCAATCCATTTGCCACTCACTCACTGGGGAACAAAATGAAACTGGTTCAGTTTGACTGGCACACGAGAAGTTATCTGGGATCTTCTTTCAGTCTGAGTGTTTTATCTGTAATTTCCTTCAGTTTCCTGTTTAATGTTTTTTGTACTTCCTTGAGAAGAGAGAGCCCCAAATTATCTTGCAAAGCTGGTTATGGGCAGAACTACACCATCACCACTCTGGAGATTTCTCTCCATGGGAAGTTTTCTTAGCCAAAAGAGGAATTTCATATCTCATACCCAGTCACACCCAATTAGTCATCCCGACAGAAATAAACATCAAATGTCTTCTTCAAATCTATGCATGCAGTCAGCTACAAAAAAGTAGCTCTTCATTTTGGTCAACAAATCCCAAACAAATGACTCAGATGATAAAGATGTCAGCTTCGTGTATGCCATGGTTCTGAAAAACTTCCAAGGGTCCATCTCCTGTGTTTTTTAATCTCTTGCTTCAAATCCCCCAAAGAGCTCTGCTTAGAAATAAACAGGAAGACTTAGTGGTTTGCACAGGATATTTTAGCTTGCCCTGAACGGGAAATTCTATCCACCATTATTAGAATTCCTGTCTACATTTTGAAAATGAACCACATGAATTCAAGTCTCAAAAAATACTGTAATAGG